GTGTGTGTGTGACCATCGTGCTTATGCCTCCGGCCGCGCCTCCCTGCGCAGTCTTTAGCCTCTAACTGTTCTTTCCTTCTCCCCTTAAGTTGAGACTGATGTCTCATATTGATAGGTGATTTAAGCACAGTTAACATTATGCATCGGACTTATAGCTGTGTGTATGTCAACCGGGACCAGCCACCATATCATGGGGGATGAATTCCTGCTTGCGAATAGGTTCTTCTTTTTGTTCCATTTAAGCACCATATTAACAATCAGTTAAACTATGACTTGTGGACTGTGCACAGCTCAAGGTACTGTTCAAATGCAAGCAGATCAGAAATCGAAACTTAATTAGTGTTGCCGGATGTTCCCGGGAAACAGTTGTCCCCTCGATGGGTTCTTGGAGGGAGATGGGAGCCAGAGAGGTGGGGAGACCGAGAAAAGGCAAGGACAGAGAGGGTGTTGGACGGACGGGAGATTGATACTGAACAGAGACGTGTGTTCTTGCTGTGTGAGCGAGGTGTATTTGTGTGTTTGGACCATGTGCCAATGGTGTGTTGTGTTTATCTAAACATATTACAGCTCTTCGATTCTGCCCCCAAGCTGTATTGTTCCTCCATGATATGTTTACATATATGTGTGGCTACCCCTTCTTTAATTATGCAATTCCTGAAATTCTGAAGCGTCTGTTCAATGGATAATGAATCCATTGTGAATAATCCTATAATTTAAATGAAAACTGTCATTTGTTAAGATTATTAAAGTGGTGATGCATTTATGTTTCGGGCTGCGATGTGCGAACACACTCACACGCATGCTGCAAACCAACGGTGGCATGCACAACAGCAGCCAAGGCTGCAATATGATGAGAATATAATTATGAATGGTTGTTTTACACTATCAGAATTCTTTCCTTTTTTTTTTTTAACAACCAACTTGTCATCATTTACCGTGAGCGAACAACAGATCATCAGCCTTTCTGCCACCTGACGAGAGAAGTGAGGAAATTAAGGTTCCCTGGCTGTGGTGCTGTGTCCTGCCTGTCTCCGGCGGACTGATGGACTGTCGAGGTAGACACACACACAGTCATTACAGGGTTGAACGGTTTTCCTTGCTTCTAAAGGGACGAGCCATGCTAACTGTTTTATCCGTAAAAACACATTTATGAGGAGCCTATAGTTGATAAGAGTGCCGTCTTGTTAACCCACCTCCCCGATTCTTCACCATTATCTTCACTCTATGCTGCATGAGTAAATGGCGCACTTAAGATGAGGGTCACTCACTGTGAAAATTACGAAATGGTGCTGCATGTTGTATCTCTGTACGGTATTATATATGCGGGTGGCCTTGCGCTTCAACAGAACATTGAGTGTGTGTACGTGATGTTTTGCATGGCTTCAGCCCAATAATAATGGTTCCAGATAGTGTGAGGCCTCGCCAGACAATTAGCCATATCACTGAAAATAGCAGCCTGCCTGCTAATTACATGGTATTATGGCATTCAGAAAGTCACTTGCTCTAATGGGAGGGAACTGTCCTCCGCATTTCCATACTGGAGTAGATACCGGCTTTATCCGGGCCCGGTCTATCTCTTCTGTCTCTGCCCATTGGCATGCTTGCTTTTAAACACACATCTCTACATGCAGCGGGGATAATTATCCTCTGCTCACATTTCAGGATGTATACATACATAGCCCATTTTTCCACAAAAAAGGAACTTACTTTATCCACCAAAGGGTGGGAAACAATCACTGGCACAAAAACATTTTAGTAAACTCCGACCATTATGTCCTATATATTTATTCTGATTAAATATTCTTTTATTGCTTTTTTAGAGATAAACGGCGCATGCAATGAACGGTGTAATATTAATCCGTATGCTGGAATAATTCTCTGCATCATTTTGTATGTGTGTGTCTCTCCGATGCCACATAACATATCCCCCTATAGATTTCCTCTTACCCTATCAGACGTGACAATAAAATTTGCATTCAAATGGCCCAATGCTCGATAAATATTCAAAATCAAAGTCCAAAGCCCGAGTCATGAGACAGGGACCAGACTCCTCCTGGCTTGCCTCCACTTCCCTCCTTCCTCCCCCAGGGTCCCCAGGACTTCCCATTTCTCCCGACGGAGGCTCTATCGATGTGACAGGCTTGTCCAGAGCATGATGACAGCCTGTTGATGCTTCTTGTCTTTCCTAACAACACCCACACACAAACCTAAACACCCCCCCACACACAAACACACACTTATACACACACACCACACACACACACACACACACACACACACACACACCACACACCACACACCACACACCACACACACACACACACGCACAGGCACACACACAAACACACACACACACACACACACACACACACACACGCACACGCACACGCACACACACGCACACACACCAGGAGGAAGATACATTTGCGAACCAACTCTTTGTGTTTTCTCATAAAAAAAGTCATGACTGACTTCAACAGTATCATATTTCCTATGTACGGTTACTAAATCCTGATTTTTATACATCTTTTTCTGTTTAATCGAAAAGCAACTTTCCATTTTTTGTTTCTGTCTGTTTTTACTCCCTTGTCTGGATGCCATTTCTTAAGATTTTGAGCTAACTATATCCGGCTCCAACCTCACATTTTGGTTCTGGGTCATGCATTAATGTGTTTCAACCGACTGTGTTTGCTTTTGCAATATTTAGACACTTAGAAAATAAACCCCTATATTCTGCAAGTCCCCATGAAGTGCAGCCAAATAAGACACAGACTCCAAACACAATAAGCTTTCACTTTGTGACCACTGGCGACTTGTGTGAGGGATGCTGGTTCTCTGCAAAGCAGCTGCACACTCAGGGTTTTATTGTGGCAAATCGCAGCCTTTATTCCAGACACTGATGAACAACAAATGACATCTTAAAGGCAACATAAATCTGGTCCCATTAGAAGGTCACAGTGATAGATAGTGTTACTTTAGAACCTGCAGTAATCATGACCTTCTTACATGTTCATTATTCTAATCCACTGAAATGAAAGCAATACAGTAGAGAATGAAACTGCCATGCCCTGTATTCTTTATTTTTATTTTTTATGAATTCACATTAATGTTAGCATTTCTTGATCAAAATATCTGGATCTTATTCCATATTTTTGATGTGTGTTGTAATGTGCACTTTTAATACTTTTTAATCTGATTTCTCGCAGTATTTTGAATGTAAACATTTAAATCAGTCCTTCAAAAGATACTGTCTCTAAAATGTAAATGTTATTAGAGATAACCAGGTTTAAGAATTTTGTAATATTGACATTTAGACCTCCTCGTTGGCCATCACGACAAAGCTTTTGACAACAAGGCACTACATACTTTTGTTTAACATTGTAATGAAACACATGTTAGAAATGGATCCAGACAAAACCTCGAAGAGCCTTCAGGACAGTCTGTGGATGTTGTGGCTGACCCTTTGCAGCCCCAATTAGGCCCCTGCTTCTGGGGTGAGAGCACCTCAGGGAGGGCCTCGCCCTGGAGACACTCTCCTCCCCCCTCGCCAAGCCTCTGTGCAGGGATTAAAGATGGCTGGGCTGCAGAAAAATATGATTCACAAAGCCTCTTCCCCTTTTTGTTCTTGTGGGAGAAGACTAGGTGTGGGGTTAGTGGGGGAGGGATGGAGGTACTGTAGGTGTTTGCGCATGTGCACAAATGCAAGTATATCTTCTTGTATATTTCCATTTGACTGGTGACGTGTTGTTCAAAACTTCCCTTCCTGCTTGTGTGTGTGTGTGTGTGTGTGTGTGTGTGTGTGTGTGTGTGTGTGTGTGTGTGTGTGTGTGTGTGTGTGTGTGTGTGTGTGTGTGTGTGTGTGTGTGTGTGCGCGCCAGGAGACGGAATTAGTGCACAATGGGTTAGAGGATCTAAAATGGCAGCTTCTGCGCTGAGATCACTCGATCTTTCAGGCTTGTACTATGCCATACTGCAGCGTACATAGCTTTTAGTTTTTTAAATGGCCTGAGTGATGCTGATGTTTCGACATATTGCAATTTGAAACAGGCAGCCCATTCATAAATTAGACATCATCACACACTGAGGATTATGGAGCTTCCATCACCCACCATTTCCCATGCAGCTCCTCAGGTGGAGGATGACATTGACACCTTTAGGGTCGCCACTTCAAAGGGCTCATCACCCTGTGCAGCATCCAACAAAAATGATTACAGGTGCTGTGAAAGAGGAACAATGGGAAATAAAGTATATTCAAAATGTGTGGCGGAATATACTTTTCCAAGGGCTTCATACTGTAGGATAATATTTAAATAAGGTCCTCAATTATGGATAGATAAAACAAATGGACTCCTTGAAACAATTTGAGAAAAATATGCCTTTAATTGATTAGGTGATAATGTTGCTTACAGTCTACTGATATCATTTTCTAGTTTGAAAAAAATCTGTTTATTTGTCATTCTATTTTGGTGTCAAGCTATTTGTCAATTGGCACTGTTATAATGTCTTTAGAGAATATACCTTTTTACTTTTTTATACATTTTCTGCAATTATCAGTTAAAACCCCAACAATGATTTAAAGAATAAGAATTAAATTATGTAAAAAAAAAA